ACTTAAGAATTTGCACAAATATTCTTTATATTATGTAGAATCTATAAAAAAAATAATGCAGTGATCTGATTCATAATGCAGGTTTTTTATTAGTAACATAATTAGTGAATAATTTCGTAAAATGAATAAATATATGCCAAATACTAATAAAATCTAATGAAATTTAATACACAATAAATTAAAACTAAATTTAAGTTATTTGTGAAATTTGAACATATTAATTATTATGTAAATTTTTTTAGCAACGGTATTTATATTATGTGATAATTGAAAAATGATCGGCAAATGATCGACAAATGATCAGTCAGTATTGTGATAAAATAGGGATGTCCGCTATGCTTTTGTCATGTGATTCGATTAGTTTAATTATGTAATAGTCATGGGAATTGCGTAATCATTTTATTGGAATAAAAAACTCTTTCTTAAAAAAATTTTTTTCAAAAAATACTAAGAAAAAATTTACATATAAGAAATGGGTAAAAGTAATAAAAAGAAATCTTCACAACAGTCTATACCCGTACAAGAGTTCGTCGACTCCTTCACCAACTCGTTCGCTTCTTTATTAGGGGACATAATATTTGATTACTTACAGTGTGGTGATGTAGAGTCTGAATTTTATAAGACTGCAACTGCTAAACTCGTTCCAAAAGGCGACATAGTCACAGAGCGGTCTATACTGGATAATGTAAGAGTTACTAAACAGTTTACGAGAACATTAAATCAAGCGATAATCTCAGGAGCTCGCTGCAAAGCTCGACAAACACTGGATAGTTTAAGCTCACGTTACCAAAATGCTCTTCCTTCACTCGTTCAAAGCGCTGTTGAGGCGCAGCTAAAAAAAAAGGAGAAGAAGGTCAGCAAACAAAAAGCGCCTGTATCAGATGAAGCAGACGCCAATCTTGTGATCGACGAATCCATGAACATAGATGACAATGTAGATCCAGATACAACCGCGTCCCAACCAAATCAGGAAGGTTCATCCAATGTTGATCAATCATCTACATCTATATCAAAGCCGATTGGTTCTCAGATTCCGAAAAATGTAACATCTTCGGAATCACAAATTACAAAAGGCAAGATCACTAAGATGACTATTAATAACAATGTAATACAAAATTCGCAAAAAGGTCAAGTGCGAACTATTATGATTTACGATATACCTGCGGCCTGGTCACATGATGCAATCCTGGAACATCTAAAATCATGGGGCCAAGTATTGGAAATATCCTTTAAGACACAACACAAGTATCAGTCCGTTTGGACAAAAATGAAACTCAAACCAACTACAGACAAGGACTTCGTTATGAGAACGTGGCAACAAAAATTAGGTGATGGTCTTGTCCGCTGGTATCCTGGACATTGGAAATTAAGAGAACGTAAGGCTCGGGAACGTTTTCAAGTAAAATTTTCTCTTCCGGAAGACTGGAAGTCTAATCAGTTGGCATTCAGTTATCACGAAAATCAATCCTTCGAACATATATTGAGTCATGAATTGAAGGGTCGTGCTTTTATTCATTTAAAGGTACATGGGAAACATCAGTTGATCGCTTACTTTGAGACACACGAACACCTACTTAGATGTATGGAATTTAGCCATCATTGGAAGCCGACCATATCAACTCCTCCCACAAAAAAAATTCCTCCAAAGTCCAATAAGGACAAAAAGACTTATTCACAACAAAGTAAAGGGAAGAATCTGGGCAAATCACTCAGTTCCTCGACTAGTTCGCGCAACAAATCCAACACTCAACAAAAGACTGATGACATGCGTCCTTTACTCTTAAAACTCCTAAACCTTTTGGTGTGAGGTCGTGAATAATCAAATCCTAAATAGCATAGAATAAGTGGCTTTAACTGTATTACTGTCATAACATTTTTTTTTTAGGCGAAATCAGTGGCGCTTATTTCTTTTGTAGGACCCATGAATGAAGTTAATTGGTGTTTAAGGTGATTTAGGTGGTTCGGTAGGAAGGTGTTTTATTTTTTTTTTTTTCCGTTCTTCTATTCTATTTTTCTTTTTTCTCGGTGTCTTTGGTTTTTTTTTAGCTCCCGCTTTTTTTCCACCCCCTTTTACTAGTCATATTCCTGGTCCCAGTGCGTTTTTTTTATTATTCATTTTATTTTTTTTAATTATGGGCTGTAGCGTAGTTTTCCTGCCTGTATGAGTGCCCAAACTTAGATAGGTCCCGTAGGGGATGTAAATTGTTAAATCATTCAATTTTTAGTTTTATTTTATAATTCTATTCTTTGTAATTAACATCTACTATCTTCGATAATAAAATAAAGTAATCATTTTATTGTAATGATGTAAATTAAACTATAATCATGTGAATTATACTTTTAATAAACTTTCGTAGATCAGTATTTCCCACAACTTCAACTTCTCACTCTCGAAAGTCAAAATGTTTTCATTTTAATAATAGCGATAAAGCGATAAACCAATCACATGATAATAGTCTAAACACGTGACATTTGAGGACTAGCGATATATCGCCTCGCCGTAGCGATAAAAAAAGTCCATTATTAAAAATAAAAAAATAAACAAAAATTTAAAAAAAACTGATTAATAAGATTAAGATAATTAAGAAACCCATGATAAAATGCGCATTTTTATTTTACTAGCAAACAATTTATTTGTAATATCCATTAAAAAAATAATAATTAATTTTATAAATTTATTAAAATTGTAATTCAATAAAAAATTTTCTATAAGACTTAAACGAAATTCTCCATAAAAAAAAAGACTCCCCTATAAAAAAACTTTTCAACCAACAATTCTCTAATGAAATTCTCAATCAAGAAAAAAAATATCACTTATTAAAGAAAAAATTTCTAACAAAAATTTTCCATCAAAAAACACCAATAGAATTTCTATCAAAAAAACTCCCCTCCTATTAAAAAAAATTTTTTACCGAGGTTCTCTAAAATTCTCCCTGTTAAAAAAATTTACTAACAAAATGATCAATCAAAAAAATATTTACCTATTAAAAAATAAATTCAATAATGAAATTTCTATCAAAAAAAAAAATTTTTCGACAAAATTATAATTTATCTATATTAAAGAAAAATTCTTTAATGAATTCTATCAAAAACAAACTCCCCTAATAAAAAAAATCTCTAATAAAGAAATTCTTTTATCAAGTAAAAGTCCCTCCTATTAAAAAAAAATTCGAAATAAAATGTCTCCTGTTAAAAAAATTTTTTTTCCGACAAATTATCTGTCAAAAAAAAAATCTTATTAAAAAAAATTCTCCAATGAAATTTCTATCAAAAAATCCTTACCGAAATTATCTATCAAAAAAAAAACTCCATATTAAAAGAAACTTCCCAATCAATAAAAAAAATTCTCTAACGAAATAAAAAAAAAAAATCTTTTTATTAGAAAAAAATTCTATCAAAGATAGCCTTTGCCTATATTAAAAAAAAAACTCTACAAAGATTTTATTTTATTAATAATAAAATTCTTTGCGTAAAAAATTTTTTTCAAACTACGCTAAACTTAAAAACGTTTCTTGTAACGGTTTGACAAATTTACGTAATATTTATGTAATCACGTCGTTACATCATTATTAAAATGACCTAATTTACACAACAGATGTACTACGGAAAGTTTTTTAAATTTCGCACAATCAATTACCGTATAACTTCGATGGATTCTCTTATTAAAAAGATTAGGAACGGTAAACAATCGCTTAATATTTTGAGAAAGAAGCCGACTAATTCACTACATATTAACGAAAAATTAAATGAAGTAAATCCATCAAATGAAATATGTAAACAATGTGACCTTATGAATCTTAAAAAGTGTAAAGTGAAACATTTTCAGCAAAATTTCAAAAATTGGACTAGCGGTAATGATAATATTGATAAATTTATTCAAAATAATCAACTATTAGCACATGCATTCTATGAAGTAAAAAATACATTAGAATGGATACCCTATGATAGATTTTGTAATATTAAATATATTGCGAAAGGTGGATTTGGCAAAGTTTATCAAGCAAATTGGATTGATGGTAATATAATTGCATGGGATGATAAAATTCAAAATTGGAAAAGATATGGAAGTAAAGTTGTGGCTTTGAAAAGTTTAGATAATTCAAAAAATGTTTCATTAGAATTTATGAATGAGGTACAAATATAATTTACTTTATGAAAATAGTATAATTTTTTTACTTACATCATTTTTGTGTAGATTACATTACATAATAAGGTAAATAATATTTTTGCTAATATTATTGGACTTTATGGAATAACTCAAGATCCAGAAACAAAAAATTATATGATGGTTTTGGATTATGCAAAGAACGGCAGTTTACGAAATTATTTAGATGAAAGACATAATAAATTAAGTTGGAATGATAAATTTTATTATTTATTTGATATTGCACGTGGACTTCAATATATTCATGGTAACAAATTAATTCATCGGGACTTACATGCTGGAAATATACTTCATGATGGTATTATTTATATAACTGATATGGGTTTATGTAAACCTGCAGATTATATTGATACTATTTCAGAAAATACAAAAAACAGGGTATACGGTGTTTTACCTTACATAGCCCCTGAAATCTTACAAGGTCAAAATTATACCAAAGCTGCTGATATTTATAGTTTTGGCATAATAATGTATGAATTAATTGTTGGATTACCTCCATATCATGATGTTTGTCATGACGAAAATTTAGCAATAAAAATTTGCCAAGGGCTTAGACCAAGATTTAATATTAAAGTTCCTCAAATAATTGTGCATTTAATTAAAAGATGCTTGGATGCAAATCCATTAAATCGACCAATGGCAGGAGAAATTAAAGAAATCTTAGCTCAATTGTGGTTTAATGGAAGAAATCAAACAAAATTAAAAAAGCAAATTAAGGAAGCAGAAAAAATTAATAATAATTTATCAAATAATGGTTTACCTTCAACTAGTTTAGCGTTATCATATGAGACACATTCAGAAGCTATTTATACGAGTAGATTGCTTGATTTTAATAATCTTCCTGAACCAAGAAATTCCGATGATTATTATGAATATAAAGATAATATTATAAGTATGGAATATTCAGGTATTAATTATAACTTATTCTTTTAAAAAAAAAATCTTTTAAAATTTATGAATACTAATTAGATTTATTATTAATTAGAATCTTTAAGGATTGATGTTGCTCAATTGAATACTATTAACATTGATGATAAATTGTAATTGATATGATAATTGTTCAAATGGAGAATTTGAAAATGAAGAAAAAAATTGAGAACTATTAAGATAGTTACCTATTCAACAAATATAGTTTTATAAATTTGTAACTTCTATCTTTTTTAATATATATTTTAATTTTTCGAGGACTTTTTATCATTATAATTCTATTTATTAAGTATGCCCTTTTAAAATTAATTTTTATTTTCTTTCTACAATTGAATTGTAAACTACATTCATGTTTTAATTTATCTATTTATATTTTTTGACTTAAAATGAAAATAAAAAATTTAATATATTTGAAGAACGCATGTTCGTTCTTTTGTCTGACGTGCTGATACCCGACATCCTTTCTAATTCGATTAATTTTTCACAACATGACTTCCATACGTGATCCCTAAAGGACTTGTGGAAATATTTCAGTATTTTCTCAATAACCCCCTCACGGTCTTTCTCGAGGTGAGCCAGGTGAGCCGTTGTAGTTTGGAAGCTATCGTATTAGGTAAAGGATTATTAAAATAGTCAAAAATTCACCAAGATCTACTATTTGAATTTTAATGCGAAATACTTGCTATGAATTACTTATATCAAATATTATTATAGATTGCTTCTAAGTTCTAATACTATTGATTTTATTTAAAGGAGACCATACAAAGAAATATTGATCTCTTTATCAAATACTTTTGATTTTTTCAACTTAAATCTTCATCCCCGCCTTTAATAGGAATAAAAACGTTCTATAATAAGAACTCATAAATAGTAAATATCAGATGTTAATATAAAAATATTATGGTCGTAAATTATCGTTAATTTTTAAATTCACAAAAATAAATTCTTTTTGTATTAAAGATCTTAATTTTATTCACTATATAACTACTTTTAATAACGCGTTTTATATTTTAAAAATTTATATAGTTATTCATTTAATCAATGAATATAGTATTAAATCTTATAATTCTAATCCCAATTTATCCACTTTTCATTTTATACACAGTATATGAATAAACTGCAAAAAAAAAAATTAATTAGATAATTGCCTGGATTTTAAAAATGTTAAGCAGAATTTTAAGAAATTTAAATTATAATGACAATTTTTTCTTTGAAAAAAAGACGTGGTATAGCAGCAAATGCTAAATATATATTTATACTTTTATCCTATTCTAATTTATTTTTCTTATTAGCCTGAGAAAATAAAATTATATTGATAAACATAAAGTTATTATTCAAAAATTAATATTTACTATTTTTATAATCTTGAATGATTAAATTAATAATTTTACCACGCTCCAAAAATTAGTTTTAAAATTTTTATTTAATAATAATTTAATAAAAATAAATAAATGGACAATAAATAATAGACAATTCCAATTTATAAAAAGAAGCAGCTCAACTAATTATTGTAAACATAAAACTCTTTTTTAAGTCAAATGAGGTGTTAGAATTTTCAATAGTAATGGAGAATAAAACAGAGACATTGATTTAATTAAATCGATTTATAGGTAGTAAGCGTCGGTCATGCGCTACCAAAATAACTCTTTGTACAATGATAGTTTCACATAAATTTTTTGTTTTTCAATATTTTCTTATTAAAAAGTGAAAGAAAGATTATTAATATTTTACAGCGTGTACATATATCATCGGAATTAATTATGACATACAAAACTTATACTGTAATATATAAATCGCTGTAATAATACCAAATTTACCTATCGTTTGATTTATTGATAAATGATGATTAATCATATGCCACTCACGCTTAGAATACAAATCTTATTACATAATTATTATTAAATTTAACTAACGATTTATTGCAAAGAAAAAGATTATGCTTATCTGATTTATCATAGTATTCTGAGAAGGTTTGTCATTAGTAAAATATCAACAAATTAACTGAATTTTTAAGTTTAAATCCTTTCTGCATTAAAATCTGAATTATATTCATTCTAATAAATTTTATTCTTTTATAACGCTTTATATTTATAAGCTTAAATCGTTATTTATTTAATGAATACAAACATATATATAATTAAATATGAAGTCATTATGACTTAAAATTCTACCTAACATAATTTTTATATATGTAAAAAAAAAAATTTTTTGCAATTCAAGTAATTATAGAAAAGCAAAAAAAAAAAAAAAATCTATTTTAAGAAAATCGATGTTAAGCAGAATTTTAAATTATAATGGCAAATTTTTTTGAAAAAAAATAATAATTTTATAATTAAACTCGGTATAGCAGCATAAAACTAAATAAGGATATACATAATTATAACTTTATTCTATTCTATTTTTTTTTCTTTCACTCTCAGATTCGTTATTTTGACTTAAGAAATAATTTTTTCTTTTACTTCCCGATTTGCTATTTTGACCTAAGAAAAAAAAAAGATTATATTAATTACGAATGAAAAAAAAACATGAAGTTATTATGTAGAAATTAATATTTACTATCTCCATTATCATTCAATCGAAAAACATTGATTTGAGAAGATTCTATTTAATAAATTACACTTATTGTTAGTAGTTATAAACTAATATTTTTAAAGTTATAAATGTAATATTTACCATTCTCATTAATATTTAACTGAGAAATATTGATTTGACATGATTCTATTTAATAAAATTGAAACTTTGTTATTATAGTATTTTATAATAACTAAATATTTTTTATGTTATAAGTGGAACATTTACCATTATCGTTAATATTCAATTGAGAAATATTGATTTGACATGATTCTATTTAATAAATTGAAACTTTGTTAGTATTTTATAAACTAAATATTTTTGATGTTAGTGGAATATTTACCATTCTCGTTAATATTCAACTGAGAAATATCGATTTGACATGATTCTATTTAATAAATTGATAATTTATTATTAGTATTTATAAATAAACTTGGTACTTTTAAAGTCATTACACAAGTAAACTATTTACCACTCTTATTAATATTCAATTGAGAAAAGTTAAGTTGTAACGATTCTATTTAATAAATAATAAATTGAAGTTATTATTAGTGTAATATTAACTAATTATATTTAAAAAGTAACAATTAACAAAATATTTAATTAATACCTGAATATTCCTTGCTTATTATATCATCATTTTGTTTATAATAATCGTCGGAATTTTTTGGTTCTGGAAGATTATTAAAATCGAGTAATCTACTTGTATAAATAGCTTCTGCATGTGTGTTATATGATATCCCTAAATTAGATGAAGGTATAATGCTATTTAATGAATTGTTGTTTATTTCATCTGCTTCCTTAATTTGTGCTTGTAACTCTATTATTTGTTTATCGTTTGATTCATTTTGCCATCTTCGTAAATTATTGGTTATTTCTTTTGCTATTGGTCGATTTAATGGATTGGCATCCAAGCATCTTTTAATTAAATGCACAATTAATTGTGGTACTTTAATGTTAAACCTTGGCCTAAGTCCATTACAAATTTTTATAGCTAAATTATTATCATGTTTTAAATCATAATATGGGGGCAATCCAGAAATTAATTCATACATTATTATACCAAAACTGTAAATATCAGCAGCTTTGGTATAATTTTGTCTTCTTAAAATTTCAGGAGCTATATAAGGTAAAACACCATATACGCTGTTTTCTGCATTTTCTAATGCATTATAATTTGCAGGTTTACATAATCCCATATCAGTTATGGCAGTTTTATATTTAAGCTTTAATATATTTCCAATATGCAAATCTCGATGGTTTAATTCCTTTTCATGAATACATTCAAGTCCAGTTATAATATGTCGTAAATAATCAAACTTTTTATTCCAATTAAGATTACCATATTCTTTATCTAAATAATTTCGTAAACTTCCATCTTTTGCATAATCTAAAACCATTATATAATTTTTCGTTTCTGGATCTTGTGTTATCCCATAAAATCCAACAATCACAAAATTTTCCATTCCTACTTTATTATGCAATATAATCTGTGTGAATATAAATTATAAAATATATTAGTAAAACTAGCAATTTAAGCATTATGTTCATAAATAATAAATTAAATTAATCAGATAATACCTCATTAATAAATTCTGATGCGATATTATTTGAATTATCCAAACTTTTTAGAGCTACCAATGTATCTTTGCTATTCCTATTCCAATTTTGATTTTTACTATCCCAATCAGTTATAAATCCATCAACTAAATTTGCTCTATATACTTTGCCAAACCCGCCTTTTGCAATATATTCAATATCATAAAATCTATCATAAGGTATCCATTCCAATGCTTTCTTTACATCTTCATGAGCTGATAACTGAGTATCCTGAATAAATCTATCAATTTCATCATTGCCACTAGTCCAATCTATAAATTTCTGCTGAAAGTAAATTGCATTACATATTTTATCACACATTTTACATTTATTTCCATGTAAAACCATCATATAACTTTTTGTTTCCGGATTACAAGTAATTCCACAAGGTTTATTGATCTATATATAAAAACATATTATTAACCAAAAATTAAAAAATTTTATAATTATATTATCAAATAAAAAATATATTATACCTCTTTCATAAGTTCTGATGTAATATTTTTTGAATAATCTAAGTTTTTCAGAATTACAGGTATATTTTGATCCTCTCTTTCCCAATTTTGATTTTCATAATCCCAACAAATTATTTCTCCATCAATCCAATATGCGCTATACACTTTGTTAAACTTATCATTTGCAATACATTTAATACCATAAAATCTATTATAGAATACCCATTCTAATGCTTTCCCTATATTATCATGAGCTGATAGTTGAGTATCTTGAATAAATTTATCAATATCATTATTGCCACTAGTCCAATTTATAAATTTCTGTTGAAAGTGAATTGTATTACATATTTTATTACACTTTTGACATTTATTACTATGTAAAACCATCATGTAATTTTTACTTTCTGGATTCTGAGTAATTCCACAAGGTTTTTTTAACTAATAAATAAAATATAATTAAAAAAAGTTCATTAACAATTTTATAATTATATCATAATCAAATAAAAAAATATTTTAATAATATTATACCTCTTCCATAAATTCTGATGTAATATTTTTTGAATAATCTAGGTTTTTCAGAATTACAGATATATTTTGATCCTCTCTTTTCCAATTTTGATTGTCTTTATCCCAACAAATTATTTCCCCATCAATCCAATTAGCACTATACATTTTGTTAAGCTCATCTTTTGCAACATATTTAATATTATACAACCTATCATAAGGTATCCACTCTAATGCTTTTCCTACACCAATATGAGCTGACAACTGTACATCTTGAATAAATTTATCAATATCTTTATTGCCACCAGTCCAATCTATAAATTTCTGTTGAAAGTGAAATGCATTACATGCATAATTACATTTTTTACATATATTATTCAAAACAATCATATAATTCTTTGTTTCCGGATCCTGAGTAATTCCACAAGGTTTATTAATCTTCAAATAAAATATATTGTTAAAATAATATATTGAATTGAAAATTTATTATTAAGATCAATTAAATATATTTATTATACCTTTTTCATAAGTTCCGATGTAATATTTTTTGAACAATCTAAGTTTTTCAAAATTACAGATATATTTTGATCCTTTCTTTTCCAATTTTGACTTTCATAATCCCAACAAATTATTTCTCCATCAATCCAATTTGCACTGTACACTTTGTTAAACTCATCATTTGCAATATACTTAATACCATAAAATCTATTATAGGGTATCCATTCTAATGCTTTCTCTATAATATCATGAGCTGATAGTTGGGTATCCTGAATAAATTTATCAATATCATCATTGCCACTAGTCCAATCTATAAATTTCTGTTTAAAGTGAATTATATTACATATTTTATTACACTTATTACATCTATTACTATGTAATACAATCATATAATTTTTTGTTTCCGGATTCTGAGTGATTCCACAAGGTTTATGGATCTACAAATAAAATGCATTATTAGAAAAATCAAAAATTTTGTAAAACAAAAAATTTATCATACCTCTTTCATAAGTTCTAACTTAAAATTTTCTGAATAATCCAAGTTTTTCAGAATTACAGATATATCTTGATCCTCTCTTTTCCAATTTGGATTTTTAAAATCCCAACAAATTATTTCCCCATCAATCCAATTTGCTACATATGTTTCGCCAAACTCATTATCTTTGGCAATATACATAATATTACAAAATTTATCATAAGGTACCCATTCTAATGCTTTCTCTATATTACCATGAGTTGATAGCTGAGTATCTTGTATAAATTTATCGATATTATTATTACCACTTGTCCAATCTATAAATTTATGTTGAAAGTAAATTGAATTACAAACATAATTACATTTTTTACATATATTATTCAAAACTATCATATAATTTTTTGTTTCTGGATTCCAAGTTATTCCATAAAACACATGCTCAATTTTAATCTACAAATGTAATGATATATTAGAAATAAAATACTTATAGTTTTGTTAAGTAATTAATTGATGCTTATACCTTATTTACAAATTCCAATGTAAGAATGTTTGGAGTATTTAAACTCTTCAAATTCACAAACATATTACATTGTTGTCTTCTCCAATTTTGATTTTTATGATCCCAACTTTCTTGATCCACCAAATAAGAATTTAATTTTATATTTCCATCAGTCCAATTTGCTCTATAAATTTCACCCAATTCATCTTTTGTAATATATTTAATATTGTACAATTTATCACAAGGTATCCATTCTAATGCTATGTCTACATTCCAATGAACTGATAGTTGGGTTTCTTGAATAAGTTTATCAATATTATTATTACCACTTGTCCAATATTCAAAATTTCGTTGAAAGTGTATTGAATTGCATAAATTATAATAACATTTATTACATTTATTATTCACGACCATCATATAAATTTTTGTTTCCGGATCTTGAGTAATTCCGTAAAATTTGTGTTCAGTTTTTAAAAACTATAAATGTAACAATATGTTAGTAAAATGTATTATTTAAAATTTGTTAAATAAAAACTGAAGCGTATTCACCCATTTTACTGAACACATGTTTTACCAACATAAAATTTATCAACGTCATTTTGCTTACTTGCCATTTCACTGACATCACATTTTTCTAAAATCATTTTAACAAATCCTATTTTGCCAAGATATAGTATTGACTACCATGAAATTTTGCCTTTGATTCATTTTACAGTATTAATAAGGAAGCAATCAATGATATAAATTTTTTTGTTTCTAAATTCTAACCGTACTATTTGAAAAAAAATAGAAAGATTACAAAGGAACAATTACATTGGTGTTATGTAAATCTGCATTATGTAATCAGCTTGTTGAACTCTTTTACATTTCGGTAAATGGAGTAGGTAAATTTTCACATCAGTAAAATGGAAGTCGGCAAAAATGACATCAGTTAATTTCATATTGGTGAAATGGATGTCTGTAAATTGTACTGTAACCTAACTTGAAGCATATACCTTTTTTACAAATTCTAATGTAAGATTGTTTGGAGTATTTAAACTCTTCAAATTCACAATCATATTACATCTTGTTCTTTTCCAATTTTGATTTTCACTATCCCAGGATATTATATCTCCATCAATCCAATTTGCTCTATATACTAAAATATTATCAAACTCATTTTTTGCAATATATTTAATATCATGAAATCTATCATAAGATACCCATTCTAATGCTTTCTCTATATTACCATGAGTTGATAGTTGAGTATCTTGAATAAATTTATCAATATCATTATTATCACTAGTCCAATCTATAAATTTATGTTGAAAGTGAATTGAATTACATATTTTATTACATTTTTTACATATATTATTCAAAACCATCATATAATTTTTTGTTTCTGGATCCTGAGTTATTCCATAAAATTTATGCTCAATTTTAATCTACAAATGTAATAATATATTAGAAAATAAAATATTTATAATTTTGTTAGGTAATTAACTGAAGCTTATACCTTATTTACAAATTCTAATGTAAGAATGTTTGGAGTATTTAAACTCTTCAAATTCACAAACATATTACATTGTTGTCTTCTCCAATTTTGATTTTTATTATCCCAGCTTTTTTTACCTTCACAATAAGCATAAATTCCTATTTTTCCATCAATCCAATTTGCTCTATAAATTTCACCCAATTCATCTTTTGTAATATATTTAATATTATACAATCTATCATGAGGTATCCATTCTAATGCCTCTTTTGCATTTCCATGATATGATAACTGAATATCTTGAATAAATTTATCAATATTATCATTATCACTGGTCCAATTTTTGAAATTTTGCTGAAATCGCATTGCGTAACATATGCAATTACATTTTTTACATATCTGGCTAGCATCTGATGGCTTAATTACCCCAAAAGAATCCATGAGCAGGACTTTTACAATTTACAAACAAATTCAGATTGAGAGGATATAAAAAAAAAGCTAAAAAAATTTGTATGGGTTAAAAGGTGGAAACAAAATTGTTTCGACCGAGGTTATATAAATAGAAAATAAAATAAAGAAAAAATAATAATTTTGTATTTCAGCGCACTGAGCGCAGTAACGGTAAATTGTATTACACAGAATTCTTGGCAAACGGTGATTTGTTAACTTCAATGCATAAATCATTACTATTTTTAGAAAGTCACTGATATTGTCACACTTTACATATAAAAATAAACTATACGTCACCAAATCTTCGTCAAATGATACATGTTGTAAATATTTAATGCCTAGGATCTCTTTTTCATTATTTGTTTCAGGATAGATGAATTAATAATATATTTAATTGTTATTCCATTTTATTCTTTTAATTCTTGGTGAATTTTATTAATCAATATAGC